CCCCACCCGAACAATTTGGGCAGGCACAGGAATTTTTAGGGCAAGCGTTTTTTGCCGACTCTGACTGTCGATTGCCTCCTCCTCCAACTAACCTCGCAGCAACCCTCATCAACAACTCGGTCGTCAGCAGTCCAAGTCAAAATGGTATGGCCCACGGCCACGGCGCATCCTCCTCTTCCGTACTGACTTTCAATTCCAGGCGATTCAGGGCAACCAGAAGCTCCAGAGCAACCGTGAGGCTCCCCCCCACACCGATTCGATCCTCGACGACGAAACGCAAGAACACGACGACGAAATAGACAGACGACTGACTTTGTTCCTTCAGACTTCCGCAAGGATTGGCAGCGCCGGGTTCGCACCCACTTCGACCAGGTATGAAACGACCACGGGCAACGAGAAGGACTTTTTTTTTTCTCGTGTGAATCGCGACAGAGGATCTGATATTTTCTGGAATTTTAGCCCGGCAAGAAGCTCAGCCGCAGACATGCCCGCCAGGCCAAGGCCGCCGCGGTCGCTCCCCGCCCTGTCGACTCCCTGCGCCCCATCGTGAGGTGCCCTACCATCAAGTACAACCGCAAGGTTCGCGCCGGCCGTGGTTTCTCCCTGGCCGAGCTCAAGGTACGACATGCACCAAACCAACCATCACCTCGACATGAGGGGAAGGGAAAACAGCGACCCCTCGATCGTCTTCCCAGAACCTTACTGACACCCACCACAGGAGGCCGGCATCCCCCGCCGCTTCGCCCAGACCATCGGCATCTCCGTCGACGGCCGCCGCCAGAACCTCTCTGAGGAGGGCCTCGCCGCCAACGTCGCCCGCCTCAAGGCCTACCAGGAGCGCCTTGTCCTCTTCCCCCGCAAGGCTGGCAAGGCCAAGAAGGGTGACTCCACCGAGACCGACCTGTCCAAGATCGAGACTGCCTCCCACATCGCTAAGGCCCTGCCTTTCGCCCCCGTCGCGTCTGGCTTCTCCGAGATCAAGAAGTCCGAGATCCCCGCTGCCGTCGAGGGCGGTGCCTTCAAGGCCCTCCGCCACGCCCGCAGCGAGAAGCGCAACCAGGGCAAGCGCGAGAAGCGTGCCAAGGACAAGGCCGACGCCGAGGCTGCGGCCAAGAAATAAGCGGGAGGCGGCATGTCGTGAACGGCATCAACCACCTCTGTCTGCTCATTTCCTTTTTGGTTCGTTCGTTCAGGC